CTTTCCCTCCTCGCCGCAGGGATTGGGGCAAACGCGGCGGGGCTACTGATCCAACAAGGGCTACTTGCCAGCCAGCTGTACAAAGTAGTTCTATTTGGCCCAACAACGAAATAAAGACAACCGGTCTGGGCATCTTAACCAAGATTCTTTGAAATGACACTATAAGCTGTTCGCTTTCAGCGTTATAAGCATATTAAGAGCAAAACCGAGTTGGACAGATTCTAGGTAGTTGTCCAGCTTAACATAAGCTCGGGAAGGTGTGGAAGCGAACGCACGAAAAGGAACGGACATGACATGGTCATAAGTGGTCTGGAAACTACGACAGTCTGTGCGGGGAAAAATCTGAAAAAAATCCAATTGTGCGAACCCCTATGTCAAGTACAAGTCGAGTCAAGTAAAAAGACTATGCGCCTTCTTCGATAAACGGCTTGCACTGCAATTCATGGGGCGCGACGGCTGTTTCCGATCAATCCAATGCATGCATAGTGGAGATGAGTTGATAAATGATATAAGACAAGGCTAAATACCAACGACCACCCGGATTTCATGTGACATTCAAACTCGATGGCCAAAAAAGAGGTCGAAAAAGTAAAATTATCAGGAGCTATGGAAAGAATAAACGATAGGTACAAAGGGACTGGAATAGCCATTCCTGGCCTATTATTCGTTGTCATCCTGCCACACCCAACCCCGAGTTTGAAGGGCCTAGCATTTGAACCTAGGCTGTTTAATTATTGAGCATTATACTCAACCCCAGGTTTTGAGGACCTGGAATTTGAGCATATATAGACGTTAAGAATATACACTGTCAGCAAAGACAGGGAACTGGAATGGCCATTTCTTGCTCATTAGCCATCATCAGACAGTTTTACTTATCCGCAGGTGGTGCACCACCTGAGGCTCGAACTCGCGACTTGTTGATCAGACGTCCAACACTAACTATTAAACCAGAGGCTCGCTTTTTTGCCGATTTAGACCGGGAATACTGACATTCGTTGATAAAGGCCCGCCCATCACCAAAGGAACTCACTAGCCTTGATCGGCCTTGGAGCTCCCTCTCGAGTCCCACCAGCAGCCACACAGCAGATAGTAGTGCTACTGTATCGGTCATAGATGTATATATAATAATAATCAGTGACATAACACAGCCCAGACTAACCCTGAATCGCGTATTTGGGGGCACATGCAAGCGGTACATTGGTCCTTCGATACCCGAAGGACCCACATGAACTCTCAGCAATAAAGTGGCTATTCAAAATGTTTCTTTGACAGCACAATACACAGTGGTTTTAGTAGAATACAGCTGAGTTCCTTAATCTCTTCAAAAGTAAAGTTGATACCGACTGACTCTCCTTGGTGCCAACCTGTGCTTGCGCACTGACAATAGTTTTTATCGAAGCAGATGATGAGGATTCTCGTTATTCTGAGGACGCAGTACGGACCGTGTGACCATCCTTCAGAATATTAATTGCTAACTCTGGCCACACATTCACCAGTTTCAGAGATAGAATATTCCTTAGACGTTCGTTGATGAACGCTGACCGATCACCAACGGAAC